ATTTGTTGGAAAGAGCCTTTTATATGGTAAATGACTTTTTTGCGAACACATAATTTTGAGCATTCCACACACTGGAGCATTGTTTATAGGTAATTTGTTTTGTTAATAAGTTATTAGACTAATTCAGTTTATTTTATACCTCGAACTCGATGTACCTACTTATGTATTTTGTTTGTTTTGTTTTGACTTTGTATACAGGTAGATGTATATTATTTTTAAGGCTTTGTCAACAAGTTTTGTTAAATTTTTTTCCTGACAATAAAGCATTATTATTATTATTATTATTATATAACACCTCATGCTTTTTCTGGTTTCACGGCAACCTTTCCAATCTGCATCACACAAACCAATCAATTCATTCATATTCCCCCTTTGAAACAATAGATCATGATCTTTTTTTGTAGTTAAGGTAACGGATTCTCTCACCAGCTTCCCGTGTAATTTTTCTTGGGTTATCCAAAAATATACTTAATTGGGCAACACTGTATGAAATATCTGGTCGACTAACCCAAAGGCAAATACATTAGGCTACATATTAATATTCGGTATGCAACATTGTCAAGAATTAATTCATCTTCTTTCTTGTATATTGAAATTAACTTCCATAGGTGTAGATACCTTTCTGGTCTCCTCCATATTAAACTCCTTAAGAAGTCAGTATCATGTCACATTGTGTAATTTTTAATCCTTTGTATGTTTCATTAATCTCCATTCCCAGAAATGTTTTGACTTCTGTCATATTTTTAGTTTTAAATTCTTTGTAGAGATTTTCCAAAATATATTGTACTTGTTCTTCGCGTCCTATAATTAAACCATCATCCACAAATAAAGCTAAGTAAGCGTCATATATAAACAATAATCATAGTTCGACCTTTGAAAGTTTAGTTTTCTTCCATTACTTGGTTAAATTTATTGTTCCAACATTTTGGAGCATTTCTCAGACCGTATAACGCTCGATTCAGGTCAAGACACTTTGAAGTATTGTTCGTCGATTTTTGACTGGCACTTTCTGTATGAGGAGAGAGGGGGTGTTTCATATGGCAAAATTGCAGTTGGAATATCTATTTGATGAAGCTTCCAATCCCATTGGACATAAACTGACAACGGTAGTCTTATTGGTGATAGTCTGCAAACTGGAGCATAACAAAACTCATCTCTATTATTACAGGGCACTTGAAATCCTTTTGTCACCAATCTGGCTTTTTTAGTAGCATCATCATTGATTTTAAAGATCCACCCTAGTGTCTATTGCTACTTAACCTTAAGATAACTCTGCATTTTCCCATATTTGCAATTTTTTCATGAGCGTTCAGTTCTTTGTTTATTGCTTCTTGCCAATCGGGTAATTTAATGCCTTCTTTAAAATTTTTGGTTTCTCGGTTTGTCGGGTCAATAAACAATATGCAGTGTAAACTTCGTAATCTTCTAAATTTTTAGGTGGAACTACATGTTAACATTCTTTTTTCGAAAGGCAAACTTTCTTTATTCTCATCACTTGAACTGGAACTTCCACTGTCACTCCCTTCACTGTCACTTCTAGAATTTGATTCACTTTCATTGTTTCCAATTTCGTTCATATTTTCTTAATTTTCTTCTCCTTTCTCTGTATTTTTGAATTCCATGATGCTTTCATCCATTTTTACATCTCTTATCAAGAGATGTTAAAAACACAAACGCGCTTTGCTTCTAACCAGTACACTTATAACCAGTAGCTATTAAACGAACTGTAACCCAAACTAACCAAAAGTATGCAATCTAACAAAAACTAACCAAAAGTATGCAAACTAACCCAAACTAACCCGTCCACGTAATGCGTACCAGTCGTTGTATGTTAATATTGAATTTAGAAAAACAAAAACGCGCTTCGCGCGCTTTGCGTCACAGTTTTTTGAAAGTAGATGAAATCCTTATGGCGCTAATTTCACTGTTGACCTAGGCCCCATATTGATAGGATTGCCCTATCAAAACCCGACACTTCGCACCAAGAATCTTCGCACCTCAAAATAGAACCACTTTAATTTATAGATTTTTCTTGAAAACTGATATAATCCGCATATTTTTATATTGGAATCGGTCCAAAAAGTCTAACTACAACATTAGGAATGCAGCTTATTAGAAACTACGTGTTGCACTAAAGCGTTTTACCACCCTCTTGATATTTGATTTTTCGTTCTTCTGGTAACCACAGCCTATAACCACCACCAAAGAAACCAACAGAAATTGCCTTTTTTGCTCTTTGTTCTAATTTATTAATTTTTGGCAACTACTGTATACCAAGCACGACTTCCAAATATTCTCAATTTTGAGTGGTCGCTTCTACCGTGCCAAATTAGTGCTGGTGTTATTCTCTTTGATAAACCTTTTGTAGGTAAACCATTTAGCTCGTATACAGAGTACTTTAAAGCCTCGGACCATAAATAGATAGGTATTCCTGAATCGATAATTTTTGTTCTTATTTTATTTAATAATGTTCTGGTTCATTCTTCCTGCTGTTCCATTGGATTGAGGCGTATATGGTGGTGTGTATTCTAAAATTATGCCTTGTATCTGACAATAATTCTTGAAATTATTTGAAGTAAACTCTCCACCATTATCAAGTCCTACTGCTTTTATTTTAGTACCTTTCTGTCTTTCAAATTCTCGGATGTAATTAATTAGATTATCTTCTGCCTCGTCTTTAGATTGCAAAGTTTTTGTTACCAGAAAATCTGGGTGATCATCAATAATTGCTTGGTAATCCTTTGACCCATCGAAAGCTACAGGATTGAAAGAGCCACAAACGTCACCAATGCTTTTACTTTTTCTTTCACTATCTTTAAATGGTAATCATGTTCCTTTCCCTTCCATACAAGAAAAACAAGTCTTGTCATTTGTGGGCAATTTCAGATCCCTATGAACCTCTTTTCCAGGGTGTCCTAGCCATCTATGCCACAAGTCGTTTGCAACGGTGCCAAGCATTTCCAATTTTTTTTGGCAAATATCAGCTATCAGCTGTCAAAATATACTAACCACTTACCAATGCACAGTAAATCTTAAAGTTTTTTCTACTTTTTTCCAAATCATTTCTTTCCATAATTATTCTGTAACCCTTTCCTGTCAATTTTGAGGCAGATAGCAAATTATGCTTCATGTTTGGCACTGTAATGGCGTCAATAGACTCTTTGTGACCTTGGCACATGAACTTTAATGTTCCTTTTTCATTACTTTTCAAAATATCGTCATTTGCAATAGGAATAGATACAGTATTTGCAATGCTATTATGTCTGTCATATCCTTTTCTAGTTTCTCAGTAACAAAATGATTGCTGGTCCCTGAAAATAACACAAAAGTCAACTTTCCTTTCACATCATTGCATAAGCAGCGTATAATTGTATTTCTGAGTCCTCACCTTTACCTTACTGTCTGCTACATTTGCCTGTTGTTGCTTCTCATAACCTTGATATCTTTGATTGTTAAAGCCACCCCTATAATATCTTGATTCTTGGCCTCTACCTCGAAAATTGTTATTTTTGGGGCACTTCCCTATAAAATGTGTCAAGCTTCCACACCGGTATCATGCTCTTTTTTGGGCTTGAAAACTTGCTTCAAGCTCATTCTGATTTTCTTTCGATGCCAATTTTAATTCCTCGTCTAATAACTTTGACTTTACATGATCCAGTTGCACCTTATCCACTGCTTCCAATGCTGTCACAATCATGTCAAATTTGAGTGGTAGTCATAGATTGTGGACATTTTCCGACACTTTCCACGAATGTCTACCAAAGGCGATTTTTTCACGGAAAAACGACACATATTTCCTTACTTTTTAATACCCTACTATCTGCCTATATCTGGGCCCATAACCTGATAAAAAGTATGGGTATTTTGATGCGAAAGAACACTTTCAGTTTCTATTTTTTTATAACATCAAACAATACAGTGACAATAATTAAAACGTTGACAAGAATGACAAGAACTGATTTCTTGACAGATCATAATTTTTGTCAACCATAGAACTGGTACCTACTAGTTAATTCTATCACCAACTCTCCCTCAGAGAGCCTTAATTTCTTGGACACAAACTAAGATGTAGAGTCATACACCTAATATCTGGCAAGGTTGCAGTGCCGAGGGGCTGCAGTAGCCAAAACGACTCTCCACCCAATCTACAGTCTATAGGTTAAATTATTTACTCAAGAATACCTGATCTTGTTCAGTCTGATTTAGGTAGAACCCGATCCTTCAATCCAACAGAACCAAACCTACCTAAATCAATTATTTGGTGATAAAGGCTACAGGAATGTAGATTCCTTACCTATTCTTTTAGGCAGTCCCAATCAGGGACGAGGAATGAACCTTTAAACAAACAAACCCTTTATTACTTTGAGCAAATTATCTTTGGCCAATTAAAACGAGATAAATATAGGTATAATGTCACAGATTTCTACACAATAATTTCCAAGTTCATTGTTAAACGTTCAATTGCTGCTGGGCAATTCTTGATTGTCTTGCTCCTAAAAAATTAGACATGGTAAATAGGTTTTTTAAACTGATTAGCAAAACATGAATTGCCTTCGCGTTAAACTTCACATCTGTTAAACTATTGCAAGGTAGTGAAAGATAATAGGTTTGTTTGTTATCCTCCACTAGTACACACTTATTTACACTTTTCTGCACTGAAGCCTTTGTTATGTCACATTACATACGTAACAATCGCCTCAGTGCAGAAAAGTGTAAATTAGAGTGCGTAAGTGAAGGATAACAAACAGACCTATATCCTAGGCCACCTACATCAAACGTTCAATCATCAAAAACTTGCAAGCAATGCAATAATAAGTAGTTTTGCTGTTGCCAAATAAAAGAAAATATATAAAATCAATTATTAAATGCACTCTATTTAATTTCGACAAAAAAGAAAAATATATACTTAAAAACCAGCCTGTATTGTATCATCTATATTTAGCATAAAATAACAAACCAAGTTTAAAATTTTGTTTACCGAATTGATTTATGCATTGCAGGTGATAGCATGATGACGTACTGTAATAACGGCGGCGGCGGCGGGGGAACGAATGCAGGAGGCGGCGGCGGAGGCGGCTCTCCACCCCCTCAGATACCGTGTTCGAACGCCAACGTCACTCCGCCAGTGTCATCAGGCACCTCCCCTAGCGGCGGGGAGCAAGAAGAGGACGTGTGGCGTGGCCATAGCATCGCGGCGCTTCGACGTCGAGCTTCAGAACTTAATGCCGCTATCCCTTCTTACCTACAAATCAACTATGACACACACAATAATGCATCCGTTTATTAAATTTTAACATTTTATATAAGGAGGGATGTTATGTTTATTTTTTTTTTCTTGTTTTGTTTGTTAGTTTGAAATGAAACACTTGGATATTGAATATTTGTTTGTATATTGTGTATTTATATGTAAAACTACAAGAGTATAATCAATCGTTTGTCTCTGGTATTTGTATTAGTTGGGACACATAGGGGTTATTTAACTTTTTGGTAGAGTCGCTTTCATAATATTTTCACAAATTGTAACAATATATTGTGCCATAAATAGTTTCTTATTCTAAGGGCCGGTATTTCAATGTCGCCTTAAGGTACAGAATAACGTTAAGTCATCCTTAATACAAGTTTCACCAACTGATCTCAAAAATAAATGGATAAACAAAGAACGCTTCTAATGCTGCTAATTTACGAGGTCAAAATCTAAACAAAAACAACTGACTGGGACAGCTGTGAGCGTGCGCAGTAGATACATGTATTGTGTGTACACAAAATCTGGCCAATGAAAATGAAGGAATTTCAAAATTTAGAACAGTTGTTCGAATGATAAGACACTGCGCAGGCGTTAGGCTGTTCCGGTGCATAACTGTTCGTAGAATAGTGACCCCAAATTTTCGCACAAATTTTGCCAATCAAGCCTTATGAATTGTTTATCCATTTATTTTTTAGATCAGTGGTTTCACCGTATACTTATCAAAGTTTCCTTAATTCAAGGTGAATCTTAAGCAACCTGAATGAAATGATTTCAAGTTTCCCTTAACGATAAGGTTACCTTAGGTAAGTCTCGATTTTAAGGTAACATTGAAATAGCGGCCCTAATTCTCATTATAAGTACAATATATCTATTAATTTTCTTAATCCAATATCAGCTTCCTAATTTTGTGCATAACTATGCAGGGTATGACAACCTTATATTTGTGATGATCAGGAAAATTCTGATATTTGCTTTGGAAAATAGTCAAATTAGGCCTGCTAATGTTTTGTAACATATTGTACGTAAGAGCAAAATAATTTGTGTTTCTATCTATGGAAACCAATATTTTGTTTTTAATAATGCTCAGAGGAGAACTCAATGAAAAAGCTCTTGAGAAGATCGGAAATTATTTTCAGAATGCATTCTGTTAATTTACTTCATCTTCTTCTTCATCTGCAACATCATAAAGGCTGATTGATTATTCTGATTGATTTTCCTGGGAAATATAGTTTCAACTATATTTTAGTTTATCTTCCCATTGGTCATCATCCTGTTGGGCTTTTCCGATGTGTATACTGGTCAATTTTGGTTCATCCTATGTGCATGATAACACTAAATTTTCCATCCTCATGCAACTAAATCTTTGTTTTTTCATGTTGCTGTTCAGTTGCTGTTTCTTGTTTCATTCATAAGTCTTTCCGGCGATTTTTCGTTCACAGGGTGTCCGGAAATAAATGCCACAAAATTTATTCAAAGATTCTTAAGAAAACATTCGAAAGGACCAGATTAGTACAACGACACAAATATTCAACTTTCCAAACACTGAGCTACAACAAAACATTTCATCGTATTATCTATAGATACACTAGGGAAAGAAGATAAATGGAGTATGAAAACCAGGATCATAAATCAATCAACAGAAATATCTGGAAGTACCTACCTAAGAGATCATAGTACATAGTATCATAGTGAAAATATTTACAATCGAAACGACAAGAGCATGAAAAATCTAAGATCCAAACTTTCAAACACAAAGCCCGAAGTGACCAAAATGAAAAACAACCATGGTATTATAGTTAGCAATGAAAATGAAATACTAGCTGTTGTTCAAGATTTCTACAAAAATATCTCTAGTCCTAAAATCCAAAATAATCAGACCAGAGAAAAAAAATCAAAATGTAGGCTCAGGAGTTTACACTTTTTTAAATTTACAATTTTTAAAGAAATGTGGAATATTTCAATGGCAGAGTACTACTGGAAACTGTGCCGATTTTGCTGAACAAATGCATAATGAAAGGAAAGTGAAAAATTCCAAACAAGTGGCAAAATGCAGAAGTCTTCACAACCTACAAGAAAAGAATTAAACATAACATAGAAAACCATCATCCTAGAAGATCGTTGTCACAATCACATTTGTATAAGCTGTAACCAAATATAATAATGAACCGGTTATCCAAGAGAATAGAATCCTACCAACCAGTTGAACATTTGAAATTCCGTAGAAGGGAATTTGGATGGAACTACTGACCAATCGCAAACCCTTCGTAATCTCATTAAGGAAAGTTTGGATCAGTTTACCATAACATACCGGTATGGGAAGGCACCATCAATGTTTCAATCACTACAATCCGCTCTCGAAGCTGAATCGGAAGTCGAATAAATCCAAGGACTTGGCAAGCGTCTCCATTTGTACAATGAAACTGGTTGAGCTTACAGAAGGTCCGCAGGGCCGGTATTCTCGTTCTCGAAAACGCTCACCGTTTTTCAATCGCTCGGCACTTTCAATGTAAATTTGCATTTGAAGTGCCGAGCGACTAGAAAGCGGTGAGCGTTTTTGAGAACCAGAATACCGGCCCACAGAGCTTCCCAAACACTGGCACCAATGACGGTTCTTGACGCGCCACTATCCAATAAACACAAGAAAGCTATTCTCACATTCAAGTAAGGTCGCTCATCGCCTTCAACGTGAGCCAGAACATAATCCAAGAGAATTTTGGGACGAAGGGTGCATTCGGAAAGGACACTTGGTCTAGTATCTTGCCGGTTGTTCGTTTTTTGAACAAGTTGAACAAGACCTTAAGGTAGCCACAACAGTAACAAAACATTTCGCGGTCTTGCTGACACTGACGAGAACGATGCTCAGGGCTTCCAAATTTCCAATGCACATTCTGTTACCTGGAACTAGAGGTAACGTCAACGGTGTCTCAGCGATGGGGTCAACGAAGGACAGATATTCAGAGGTATTGTAGCTAAGCTTGTGATCAGCAAGTTCGGGTTCCAAAAGCTGATGAGAATTTGTTGGTGGTGGAATAAAACGTGGAAGACGTTATTCAGTTTCCTCTACTGACTGATCAACTGAGGCGCAGAAGTTCTTGCACAGACGTCTCTGAAGATACAGCAGAAGATTGCGTTGTGACAACTGAATTTTAGTTGCTTCATCGCTGTTATAAGTAACTTATTGAAAAAGATTTGTATTTCAACGACAAAGCTGATGACTCTCTTCTGGGAACCCTGATTTCTTCGGCGGATTTTCTTCCAAAGAGAAAATTCATAGTCGTATGGCAGAAATGCATCCTTTAATTGGGAAATCAAATCATCCCAATGTTGGAAAGTGCAAGTCCGATACCACAGCAGAGCGTCTTTTGTGAAAAGTTCAGGAGCGGAACGAAGTAGCCTTTGGAAACTCTCATTTGCTCAACTCTGTCCAGAAAATTCGACAGGCTACCCTGCCATCCAATTTTGAATTTAAGCGGTATACCATACTGGATAATATAGCATTACATTTCATATAATACCAGAAGGGCATTTGACTCTATTGAAACCTGGGTACTTCTGGAATGATTTGATAACGTGCGGATAAGAGTCCAAATACAAGCTTCATCCAAGTGAAAATAGATGACGTCCTGAAGAGAGTTCAATCAAATTAATTATGTCAACCCTAGAGAATATATTCAAAAAGTTACACCGAAAAAATATCGCAATCAATGTCGTTGGAGTGATTCTAGATCACTCCAGACCACATTGTGGTCATTGCTAGTATACGCGAAGAGCTCACAAAACATCATTGAAGAATTCACCTACAAATTAAACTTGAAATGAACCTAACAAAAACAAAGATCATGGGTTCCTACAAGAAACATCCAGCTAACTTCCAGCGATCATCTCTCAGAAAATGTTCCTGAATATATTTATTTAGGATATAATATTCAGCTTGTTAAAGAAACCTTATTATTCGAAATCTCAAGAAGAATAGGTCTTGGGCAGCTATTCACTAGCGAGGAGTCATTTTTCAATACCAAATCTTCACCATGATATCATTGGCTCAGTCAAGACATGGCCCTGTTAAAATGCTCTGAGCTTTTTTGAGGTTGTTCCTGTAAGATTTTATGGCAGTCTGTTTCATGCAGAGAAACCTAATGTACTTAACATTTTTGTAGCTTTATATTACCTATAAAATATTAATTGAGATCAAACTTGTAACAATTATTAGAAGTTCGCTATCATCGATTCCAATTATATTTGAATTTGAATCGTAGTTTACAAAAGGATCTTAAAGCCTTTATGTCCATTGGATTTTTTAAATCTATCATGGATTCGTCCCATGATATTTTTGTACATTCTGGGTGGATGATTTTTAGGAACAGCTTCAGGCAGTGGCAGTGTCTCATATCAACAACTTAATTTTCAGGAAATCTCTAATAATTTTTCTTGCAAAATTGATCTTTAAGAACAAGATACTTTTTATGGCAACTAGTTTTCATGAAATTCATAGCAATTTGACTTGTAATAATATTTTTTAACATTAAATGTTCAGAAATTTTGTATATTAGTTATTAAGTCGGAAGTTGCGTAATAAAATTACACAATAATTTTTGTGATATTATTTTTGAACAATTATATTGCTTTCTTTTAATGAATACCTAGATGGGCATTACTCCACTTAAGTGAATAATAATGTACCTACTCTGTTTAAGAAAGTGGATGGCTCTATAATATAGAGCAAAGGGATACAGTGCCTCCGCTATATCTGCGACAGCTGCAATAATTATATCCAACTTCGACGAGAGAAATTTTTGAATTTAGGTATTTCAGAACCAAAAACACCTCGTATTTTGCCAAAACTTTTATAGGGAAACGACATTTTCACTGTCCCTCTGATGTTATAGATGAAGCGCAGGCATTTAGATATCCATAAATTGTTTCATCCACAGTCGAAACCAATTACTAGGTACTCTGTCTAATCAAAATAATTTAATTATTTTCTTCGAATCATCTGATATACATATACGCATAATGTACAGATAATGTATGTATATATTTTTGGTAGTGTCATTGCGGGCTCGACCGTGAACTGTTAGTAATAAAATTATTATTTTTTTATAAAGAATATGTAGTACTTAAACCAATCTTTGTAAAACTACAAATTCTTTATAAAACAACTTTAAGAAACTGTTGTATACGTACTAACCTACGCCATATTGGTATAAAAACTTTAGAATTTAAACAAAAAGTATACATTCGTTAAACGTGAATGTGCTCTTCATATAGTATACGATCTTACAATTAGTTATCTGTACAAATAATTATCGGTAATGATAGACGTAGGGCTTAGAATTATAGATCTGTATGTATTTTATTATAAAAAAAAAATATTATTTAATAGGAAGTCGTATGGAAGTGTTCTTTTGAAACAACAATTTGTGGTAACAATAAAATTTCTTTTTAATAGTAACTTGATTGTGTTTTGGTTCAACATTTTTATTTGAATTTGAAGAATTGATATAGAGATACCTACTAAAACATGAACAAACTAGTAATTATAATATTGTGCTTATTTTCATTGACTCACATTCTCACATTGTTGGTATATTGATGGCACTAGGATATTGGTACCTAGGTACTAATAATGCTTCAGAAAGATGCACCTACTAAACATTTAATTATTGAGAAAACTTTTGAAAATCTCAATATTGATGCAAAATTGCTGTCCGATAAATGGGACTTAATTGACGGAAGTAAATTACTACAAAAATAATTGGAAGCTGCTTAGGGAGCTTGGTATATATTCGAAGGATTCTACACTGAGAAAAGTCCCAGGAGAAAATTCTTTGCTGTTTTTTTTTTTTAGCTGTTACAGTGGAAAATGTTTTAGAGGTAGCAATGTTATTTTGCTTCTACAGAAAAGACCACTTTGCTGAAACTACTTTATTGA